CGAGCCGTTCCTTGGCCCTGTCCCCCACCCCAAGGGCATTGAAATGAGACGAGACGCAGAGAGAGATGAGGCTCTGGCAAGGTCTGTATTCAAGAAGTCAGACACATGTCTGGAACTGAACTGGTTCTAGCTAGTTCTGACAGGTGACCTCTGGGGGTCACCGGACTGGCCTATTGTACTGTTAGGGGGGGTATCTTTAGGATCTTACACTCTTCCCCCCTACGGAAAACAAAACTTCTCCTGAAGTTTAACTTTTAAAAAAATATATAATATACTAGAACTCTGTAACAACAAGAAACTTGACGAACAAAAATATATAGTACAATGAGGATCACTACTGTCAGTACTAATAGTACTGAACAACAGATGCCAACTTGAACTAAATGGCACTGATCGCTTATCTATATAGAATTGTGTTAACCAAATTATAAAAAGAAAAAAAAATAGCCGTCACGACCTGACATAGTTGTACCACACTTTGTCGAACTCTGACATGAATATAGTACACAATACTGTGACTACGGAGCATTGCCATCATAGAAACATAACATTCATCATCGAAACATCATCAAAATACAATATTATATCGGCATAATTTTAAACATCGTCAAAAACATCATCAAAACACATCGTTACATCATCAAAACGCCACGCCGGCAGTCCCTTGTTTTAACAGTCTCACTGACTCCGCTTCGCCGGTTCCGCCACGCCGGCTACAGCTCCGCCTTGTTGGCTCCGCCTGCTGCTCCACCTGCTAGCTCCACCTCACCGGTTCCGCCCAAAAACCGGCTACAGTTCCGCCATGCAAGTTCCGCCATGCTGGCTCCGCCTCCTGGCTGTGTCGGGGTTTCCCGCTCGGCTGCTCAGGGCCGAAAGTCGAGGCTTGGGGGGGGGGGGCATCTCCAATACCCCAATCTCAAGAGAAAATGTCGATATCCGACTCGGCTGCGTGCTCAAGCACGGCCGAATTGAGATTTGGGGTAGGGGTGTCCGTAACTTCGGCACTTTTCCAGTGGAATGCTGGGGGCATTTCTGCCCAGGACCGAGTCACGAATCCGTCCTCCCGCCTCAACAAAGTGTCTTCCAGTCAGGTCTGCTAAATCTCGACGTCCTTCGTTGTTTCTTCTCCCGTCGGGAAGGGGCTCGTTGGAGTTCCGCCGACGTACGTGTGTTTCTCGGTCACAATCATCAACAAAAAAAAACTTAAAGGAAACAGCTGCGCTGTAGTCACGTCATGGCTGCAGTGTCACAGTTGGGGGGAGGGCAGCACATGGCATCATGGCGACGTCTTCTTCTCCTGCTCATCATGCTGGAATTCCGGGGTGAGGGACAGGCATCCCACCGCTGGCACCAGTGTAACGAGCCGTTCCTTGGCCCTGTCCCCCACCCCAAGGGCATTGAAATGAGACGAGACGCAGAGAGAGATGAGGCTCTGGCAAGGTCTGTATTCAAGAAGTCAGACACATGTCTGGAACTGAACTGGTTCTAGCTAGTTCTGACAGGTGACCTCTGGGGGTCACCGGACTGGCCTATTGTACTGGTAGGGGGGGTATCTTTAGGATCTTACACTAGTGTAACGATCCAATCCCAGGGTTTATGGAATGAGCAGAAGAGACGAGTGGAGTACTGTAGATCTGTATGTATTCTTCAGAACATGTGGGTAACTCTAACTCAACTGGATATAACTGGTTCCTAGTGGACTTGCCTACTCGCCACCGGGGGTGGCAGGTTATACCATTCCCATAGGGGGGAACTCTATGGTTCAGCATATTAGATCCTTACACTCTTCCCCCCTACAACAAGTAAAACTTCTCCTGAAGTTTACAGATATAACGATGTATATATAATTGTATATAACAATGTATATAAATATACAATGTATAAGTATAATAGTAGTCCAACATAACAAAATGCAACGGGGAACAGTCCGTATCCGTAACAGTACGAATAAAACTACTGAATAAAGCTTAACTTGTATTAAAGCTGTCATCACAATAACAAGTAACTTACATGTATCTGAAGTTTGACTTTCACTAAAGTTTACCAATATCATGTAAACATATCAGAGCATAAACATAATTAAAAAAAAATAGTTCTATATAGTGTAACGTTACATTTGACAGATCTAGATAAAAGGTATAACGGTATTTGACAGGCAAGATACACAGATTAAAAAGAAAATCTGTGTAAGTTCTAGACGGTTTGTCTTCAACCTCTGTCAAAGTTAACTTCCTGGCGAAGCAGGTTTTCCGTGTCCCAATCTAAATACTAGTAGATCGTCAATGCAACAGTCTGATGGGAGAGTTCACAGCTGTAGTAGGTTATCTAGAGTTCTGTGACATAGTCCGCAAGTCGCGATGGTCTAGTTACTCGTCGACCACGCCGTGTAGCACGTTGCGTAGTGTCTGTTGTGGCCGTTGCTGGTTGAGAAGTTTGCTCATCCGGACAGTCGCGATCTGGCTGTGCCGTCGGCGTCCTGGCGACAGGTTCTGCCTGGCGTGTATAGCAGGGTTTCAACCTGTTATAATGCACAGTTTGTTTGCGGTTAGTCTGGGTGTTCTTGATCGTGTACGTGACACCTGGTTCTCCATCGGAGAGTATTCGTTCCACGACGACAAATGGGCCTTTCCATCGGGGTCTGAGTTTCCGCCGTTGTGTCGTAGGATCATTCAGCCACACTTTGTCGCCTGCCTTGTATGGTTTGTGGGACGAAGTGAAGTCGTATGCAGCTTTCTGGCGACTGCTCGCTCGCTGTGTGTTTTGTCTCACGCGG